AGAAATAGAAAACAAAAGAAAAGTACAAACAAAAATAGAAGAATAAACCATAAGTAAAAAAAAAAATTAAAAGGTGCTTATAGCAGTCTATGAAATGACCCAAAGCTAAATTATTGCAAAGTAAAGTAAGTGTAAAGTTTTAATGAAGGCAAACTTTGCTGAATATGTAGAAACATCTGAATGTGTGTTTGCAGTGATAAGCATATGATTTTGAACGAACTGTGCATGTGTATTTTAGACCAAAATATGTTGAGAAAGCCCACAGGAATTGTATTTTATGTAATGTTAATGTTTTTAGGAAGTTGCACACGAGTTAAGTGTTGTTTGTGTGAAATAATTTGCAAATGATAAAAAACAGGAGTTGCAATTGAAGCCAATCGTCAAGTTATGACAACAACATTGTGCCATCGTGTAGCATACTCGTTGCATTAAAATGTTTGACCAAGCAAAAAACAGATTATGTGATTCTGAATGGAAAAGCCAGTATGTAATCCAGAATTCTCGAACAAAGGCCTTTTTAACAATATGAGATCTGTAGCATTTGATTGAAAAATTTGTTAGAAACATACCAGACAAACAGACAATTGCAAGCATATGATTTATATAGATATGTATATACACACACACACACACACATTATGTCAGTTTTTTCTATGTTATTGTATGCATAGAATTTTCTATGTTTATAACACTTTGGTACTTAAAGTGTATTATTTGACTATTAGTGTTTCAAAATTTAAGTGTATTGCATACTGGCATTACAGTATTATGGCAGAATAATTTGTATGTGACATTTTTACATCAAAAGAATATACATTTCAATCACTGACATTTGGATTCAAAGTTCCTCTGGAACTATGTAATGTGTGTAACAATTAAAATATTTTCTTATGCTTATGAAAATCTATCTTCTTTATTTCTGGCTAGATCCATAAAATTTGATAAATAGTTTTACTTTGGAAAATATACTCAAACTAGGTATGTAATATTAAAGAAAACTCAAAGCACAGTTTTTTCTTTATTATTTGTCAACCGAGAAAATGTTTTTAAAAAAAGCCGTATTTGGTTGTTTAAATAGTATTTGGATATGTGTAAAAAAATGTCATAACGAAAGTACTGTGACAACCTATAACAATCTATTCATTTTTCCCCCCCACAGAAGAAGATAATGTGAACTGGAGTTCTAGAAGTTCTAAGAAAAAGGAAAGCAGTCAACATCCCTCTCCATATAAATCACCTAATGTGCATAGCAGTCACATTCGCTCTCTTTCACATGATTCTTACTTTGAAAAATCAGTAGATATTTCTAACGAACAAATTGATGAGGAAAATGAAGAAAATGTATTTCTGCAAATCGATAGTAAATTAAATTTTTCTTGGAAAGACGGTAACGTTGCAGAAACCAGAAGGTCAACAGAACTACCTTTTTCTTTGGATACTATGTTTAAAAAACTGAAAGATACTGAAGTTATGGCTTGTCAGGAAAAATCTTTCTCAGTTGATGGACAGTGTAATAAAACAAATGTTGAGGGTCTTTTTGATGTTTTTTGTGTGGAATCTCAAGATGGTTTCCAAAAACAAAAATTAAGAAGTTCAGACAGTGATGTTTCAAGTTCGAAAATGCAAAAATTGAATTTTCAAAATTTTCACCAAGCCTTCAGTTCCCCCTCTTTTAGTAAGAAGCTAGAATCCTCTGTGATTTTTAATGAAGATGATAGTTCTCCTAGCTTGGGTAAAGTAAGGGACATTGATTTTGTGCAAGGGAGTATTCAAGAAACAAAAGATTGGTATGGTCAAACCTTGTCACTAGATATGCTGAACAAAAAGTATTTTCCTCTTTCCACAGAAGAAAAGCCCAAGAATGTCATAAATGATCTTCAGGTAAATAATAGAATTGAAGTACATGAAAAGGCAGGTAAAGAACTGCCAGAAAATAATAGCTGCACAATAGAAAATGATCTTGGTAAAAAGCCTGTCAAATTGTTAACAAGCGAAGAAAGAATGTCTCCTCCTGTAAGTGATGCAGTTGGAGTTGATGATGGTGTGGGAAAAACAGTTGTGGAACGGTACGGAAATGAAGAAACTATTATAGTTGAAGTACATGCCACTCATGAAGGTTCTTCTGATGAGGATGAAAAACTTAATGAAAGTTATCAAGTAGCTGGCAATACACAACAGACTGCTACTGGGAAAAGTGAAGAAAATGAGCTTCACAAATTTCAAACACAAGGTAGTGAACAGAAACTTGATTGGTCATCAACTTTAGTTCAAAGTTTCTCAGCTGAGGCAACTCTCTCCAATTCTGTCAGTCTATCCCAGCTCAATTCAATTCAAGATTCCAAAGATTTTCATCAAGATATTATAAATGTCACAGATAAATCCAGCATATGTCATTCCTCTTCACTTCCAGAGGAATGTAGTATTAATAATTCAGTAGTGTTAGACCTTGTGAAACTTCCTGATAAAGATGCAGGAAAACGACATAGTGTCGAGAGAGAGCTCCAAGCTCAAACTAGTCCTCTTAGAAACTTCTTTCCTGCAGAGTGTCCAAGATTTATACCTGAAATAAACCAAACAGATAGCAAAGAACCGATGTTTTCTTCTTCTAGTGTAAGTCTAGAAGATGGAGACCAAGAAATCTCTGATGTAGAAGAACTTTTCAAGTACAAGCTGCTAGATGAACAAGAAACACTGAATACACCCATAAACACAATGCTTGTGAAGGAAACACTACCCTTAAAGAATCTAGAAGTACATGAAATCAGCAGTGACTTTTCTAATTTAGCTGAGAAAGACAATATCAGTACAGTTCATGTGCCTCCTCCTATTTTTCCTTCACATTGCTCACTTGAATGGAACAAAGAGAATAATGTAAAAAGCTGTCCAGTTGAAGAAGAATCAAAATGTTCAGAGACATCTAGAAAGAACACTCATACAACAACCATAGACAAAGATGTACATCCAACTTTCTTCTCAGATAATCATGAATGTTCCAAGCCACAAGAAGCTCTTATGAAACAAAATTCTTGTGCTGAAGAAGTCTGTAATAAAAGCTTACAAATCAACTCTCATGTTATCTCAAAGGAACAAGTTGAGTCACATCATCAGAATGCATCAGATTTTGAAAGTGAGGTTTCATTTGAAATGCATATTAATGAAACATATTCAAGTGCTCAGATCTCTAATATTACCTCTGATCAAAGATTTGAAGTTTCTGACAGCCAACACCAGTATTGGTCTGATTCTGCTATAGAGAAGTGTAGCATTTATGAACAGTCTTCTTCAGAAGAAGAATCCAGGTGCAAGTTTGATTCAGAAATTGGGCAATCAATAAAAAGAGATTATCAAATGAGGATAAAAATGGAACAATTACAAGCAAAGAATAACAAAAAATATCCTCTAAGCCCGAAGAGGTCATCACCTTGTGACTCCAAATTTTCAACACCACCCAAACAAGCACAAAAGACTGATTCTTCTAAAGAACTTATCAAAGATGAAAAGAAAATACTGGATGGTGTAGAACTTCGCAAGTGTCCAGGCAGACAATTAGAGAAATTTTCTGAGGAACAAGAAATTGAAAAAAAATGGAATGTGAATTCCCATGTAACGTTTCATGGATCAAATCGCAATTCTATGGTAACAGATAGTAAACGCCTTTCAGAACCTGTTATGAGCAGTTTGCATCCAAAGTTCCTTCCTGTGGATAAAAAAGACTCCGTAAGAACCTTACTCTCTAAATTTGAAACTCCTTCTCTGAAAGAAAATAATTCTGTTAGTGAAACTGATTTTCAAGAAACAGCAAGAAATTGTTTAAATGAAAGTTTAAAAAAGAACAAGCTTTCATCAACTCATCTTTTTTCCCAAATCAAAGTCTTCAAGCCACAATTTGAACAGCTCACAGGCACAACTTCAACCAAATATGATCCCTTGTCAGATCCTACCTTAGAATGTGATATTAATCCACAAGATCTTCTACAAATTCATACATCTGCTTCCAATGGTGGAAAGCTTGAAGTTCAAAAAGCTCTCTCGTGGGGCCCAGAGGAAATGTCTGTATCTAGTACGAACAATGAAAACAATTCCCTAGATTATGTAAAACCACAAACCTTGGATTTTGAAAATATGTCGCACAAAGATTATATGTCAAAACAAGATAATCCAAAAGCCTTATCAATTAGCAGTATGCAAGACAAGGAAAATAAAGATACAAAAACCCAAGAATTTTCATTGCCACTGGGAAAGAAAGAAGTTTTGGAAAACCCTACTCCATTAGTCTCTCAAAATAGAAAAACAAATATTAGTCCAATAAAGTGGCATTCCTTTTCTCCTTTAAGCTCTCCAATTAGAGAAGTGACTGCATTTCCACCAGTAAATTCCATTGTTATAAATCAGAAGGAACAAGTTCATTATTTAAAAGAAGACCATAGAAGTTGGGATAAAGAAATATGGAAATCAGATATCATAAATAAAAATTCTAATAATAAACTGAGAAGAATGAACTCAGAGCCAGAATCTGGATCTCAAACTAATTTAGGACAAGCCACTTCACTGTCATCTTCCATAGATAATCAAGAGAACTGGACCAGTGCATCTTCTCAGTCTACATACACAAAAAATGAGACACTTTCAGTTTTCGAAGACCAGGTGGATAAGGAAGGAGGAGAAGTGTGGGTCAGAGAACGTGCACAAAGATGGCAGAAACATATTTCGGAGAAAATGGGTAATGTTGTACCATTGTCATATAGTTCTAATCACTGTGGGCCCAAGTCTTTCTCAGAAGGCTTAAACAGTACAAGTAAACTCAGTGGGTCACCCTGGAAAAGGGGACAAAAGCCTCCCATCTTGGAGAGACAACTTCTCAAGTCACCAGTAAAAAAAACATCAGAAAATCTACCAGCCAAACCAAAACCTATCCCTGCTCCAAGAACAAGCCTTGTTAAAAAAAACATGACTTTAGATGAAGAAGGCTCAGAACATGTGCCAAAAGTATCTTTATCAGAAGAAACTACATGTAGAGTAGCTAGTGTAGACACATGTGAAGGTGGCATAGCTTCTTATCGACAAGTTCTGTCAGCTCCAAAATGCATTCGAGATCGAGCTGCCATGTTTGAACACTCAGCCACTTCACCTCAGAAGTCATTAGCTCAATCATCAAGCATTCATTCTTCAAAAAGTTAGTGGCATAGTTAGGTGCTTTGTTGTTGATCAACAGAACCTATTCTTTCTTTTTTTTTTAATTATCTGTACAGAAACATTTTGTTAGACAAATGTATCTACATGCAGAGCATGTATGGTAGGAAAAGTGGTTTAATGCATCTTTAGGACTCACTAGGTGAATACAAGGACCAATGGAGAACTTGTGTGCTACAGTGTGAAAATATTCAGTTAAGTAAAGAAAGATACAGTCTTCCATGGTGCGAGTTTTTACCAGGATTTCTCTCTAATATGTTTGTGCAAAATTAGGTAATAGCATTCCATATGCTGTTCAGTGAAAAAAAAATAGTGTTGTGGTTCTTATATCATTCCATTGTTCCAACTAATTTCTTTTTCAATTTTTTTAGCCTGAACTTTGTACTATTATTCTTTTAACTTTGTAATAAATAAAAAATATCTTCTGAAGCAAATATTCACATTACTTAATATATAAAAAAAAGAAAATGCAGTGTACAGGTATTAGAAGAGAAAAAAACATGAAGAATCAAGTTTTATAAGTCAAAAAGTTGAACAGTTTCTAAATTATCACTTGATATTGTTTAAATGAGCTGTGTGCTTTTAAAAAGTTAATATTTGTAACAGAGACGTGTTAATTTAATCCCAGTATTACAATTTTACATGAAAGTGTAAATATACTGGTTACTACAGCAGCCCATTTACTGCATAATGTCATTTCAGAACTTAAATTATTATTTCCTGTGTCATTTGGAAGAGGTTATGTAAGATGCTTGTGGCACAGAGGAACTTTTACTCCTAATATACCAATGTGACAAAGAAAAAACAAAAAATAATAATTTTCTGTGTTTTTTTTTTTCTTTTTTTGAAAAGGTAACTTTTTGTATTTGAAGCATAGCCTTCCAGTTTAAATTTTAGGTTAGTTTTAGTAAAATAAGATCAGTTTTCACTGCTATGCAAAACACTGACAATTCAGACATAGTATTATTAACATTAGTCTGCTCAGTATTTCTTATGCAAATTAAAAGACCATGGTATAAACTTATGACAGTGAAATATTGTATATGTATTTATTTTCTCTCAATATCTTGTGTATATTTTGAAGCTAGTGTATATTTGTAGCAAAACTTACTATGGAGTAAGTACATTTAACAATTGTTTTAAATTTTTTGGTATTAATTTGTTTTGCTACTTTCATTGTAAAATATACTTTTTCACATCTAGTGTTTTTTTTCCCATCACTGTCTTTGCTGTAAATGTGCGTGTAGATATAATTTTGCTTTCCTTAAGTCAAAACCTGGATGTACTTTGTTTACATGAATGTGATATTGGGATTATTTCCTGCTAGTAATGTAGAATATTTTTGCAGTTTCATATGATAAAGTATGAAGCTTTTGTCAGATGTTACAATAATAACCTTAATTGACTGCTGAACAACTTTTTGAAAACAAAACAATTCAACATTGAGTTTGTATTGTTTATGTGATTGTAAATATTAAATATTTCAAGCACCTAAATTCTATGGTTGTATATCTGTTAGATAAATGTATCTTGTATTTCCTTTTTTCTTGTAGAGGTCAAAATATTTTAATTACAAAAACTTGAATGTAATAGTATATATGTTCAATATACTTCCTGTTTCAAACTTAGGAAGTTGATACTCATTATAAATGCATAGTAATGTAATGGTGATTCCTTTTTTCCTTGCAGTGTTATGTATTTACAAGGTTTTTGTGGTACAATATGTTGTAAATTCAGAATTTCATTTGAAATGTGAAAATTCAGACTTTTGTGGCAACTTTCTAGCCAAATAAAGTACGCTGAGATAAGAAATAGGGCAAAAACTAGCAACCTAACATTTTCTTAAATGGCATGCCAACATTTTTATCTTTAGTGTTAGACAAACTAATTCTTAGTCTAGCCATAGCCTTCTGTAACTTAAACTTAATGGTGTTATAAAATATCCATGTATAAAATTCAACTCACTCTAAAAATTAGGGAGAGGAAGAAAAACTTAAAAGCAATGCCAGAAATCCTTTTTTGTTCCTTGTCACATGTCTATGGAGATAATCCAAATAAGTAAACTGTACTGTTGAAATTTTTCAATAAATACACAGCCAACAAAAATAGAAGCATTACATTGCATATTTTACAAGTAATGTTCAAACTTCAGTACAGGAATTAGAAAACTTCTGTTATGTATTCAAACCTAATTGCCATCTTAAAGATGACTATTTTGTTGAAATTTGGTTTTAATCTGTATTATTTTTGTGGGAAAGTAGCATAAAAAATAGAATATAAAGGGAGACTGTGAATATTGGCAGCCTTTTATTTAACATTTAAAAACTAATATACTTAAAGCAGCTCAACAGCTCTTGTACTGGAAGCTTGATGATATTAATAACAACACAAAATAGTAAAATTATAAGAATAAACAAGATAATATATCAAGACTGGTTTGTTACAGGGTATGCCTTTATTACCTTAAACCATTGATGAATTTCTTTTTGTGTACCAGGTATGTGCTGTACTTGTTTTATGTCACAAATTGTATCTGGTGATAGTTTAAGGTGGTACATGTGTTTAAAATTTAATTTATAACTACTTGAAATGAAAAGGCAAACATATATATATATATACAAACACACACAAGTAACTTGTGGCAGGCAGAAGAAAGTGTGTAATAGTAGTATTTCATATCTTCTTCTCTGCCACAAGTAACTAAACAAAAAGACCTTCTGTTGAATAACAGGATAATGTCTTATGGCTGACAAAAGATAGATACCTAGTGTGCTGATTTGAAATTTGTAATGGACTAATTAAGTGGGAAAAAACATCTGGAGTCAAGCTTCGGGATCCAATTTTCAGCCACCTATCAGCATTTAACATCATATAACTTTTAAAATGTGGATGCTTATATGTTAAGAAAAGACTGTTTCCAGCACATTGAAAACTTTAATGTGGTTTGAATTAAAACCAGTGTTCACTATGAAAATTTGCTTAAACTTTTTTTCATATGGACTGAGTATTATATATATATAAATAAAGTGCAGGTATTTTTGTAATGCAACTACTCAAATAATTTTCAGTGATATATATAAATACATATGTAATCAGCTGAAACTTAATAAGGCTTTCATGTGAAAGGTTAACACAAAAAACACAACCTTCTGGGGAAAACATTATAGTATTATATAATAGGATGCGACTTCCCCAGTACTGAGAATGTAATAAAATATATTTAAGTATTGTGTTAAGTGACTTAGTTGAGTTTATCATCAGAAAACTGTGATGCCAGAATGCATTAAAAAATAACCAAAGAAAGAACATTAGTTTAACAATACAGATTGTGATTTCTTTGTTAAATGATATTTTATGTTGTTTTGGAAGCGATGTAAAATGTGTGACAGCTGTAACTTTTTGATGTCGTTATGTTTTGGTTGAGTGCATCAAATAGGTTTGTCCGTGAACGTGGTTTTCAATTCGGGACTTTTTTGATAGAGGTAAAATAACTTGACATTAAATTTATTAGTCATACTTTTACCCTGAGCTCATAACGATAGTATGTCATTCATTGATCCGTAGTTTTTCCTTTTTTTTCTAGTTCTAAATACCATTTGAAATGGGAAATGCCTTAATACTGATATCCAGAGTGTAATATTTGTAAATAGCACAACATTTTCAGGCCAAACTTTTTTTTTCGTTAAGAGTATTACTAATTAATTTAATATACACGATGTATTTGCTTTTTCCGGTGGTTGTAGACTTGTGTATTTGAGAAATAAAATTCATAATATAGTAAGTATTACTGAGGAACTTATTTATGGTTTTTATATGTAAAAAAAAAGAAAAATGTACATACATATGTATAAATACACACACACACATATATATATATATATATATATGCTATTCCAATTGGTAAAGTCCGAGTGATCTGGTTATGGCACTATTCGTTGATAAAGAGTTAACGATGTGTGTTGTTGACTAGCTGCCTTCCCTCTAGTCTTATCACTTCAAAATTAGGGACGCCTAGCGCGAAATTCAACAACAAAATCTTCAAATGATACAGAAACATTAACATTCATTAGAAGAACTTTGTATGCGTAATTCGGTCAAAAATAGAGGTTGTTCTAGTCATTTAAAATAACCAGACTGTAAGAAAGAGTTATATTTACAAATTACTGTGATTCATAAGGCATTTTTGTTTGTTTGTTTGATATTGGTCCTCTAACCATTCCCAGCTCGTCTTGTTAAATAAATATTTAGTAAGACAAGATTTGATCAGATTAGCTTGGTAAACTAGATCCATAATTGTTTTGTAAGATCAATAACCTGTGTGGACTGTGGCCATGCGCCAACACAGTTTTAGTGAAAATGTCCTAGATTCAATCAAAAGCAATAACTTAAATAAAATAATTTCTGATGAGAAAATCCTCAATTACTTATAATAAAAGTAGCAGGGAGAACTTGATATTCTCATATAGTTGAAATGGATGAAATTGTGGCTGCGGAACGAACACAGCGTGTTCATAACGTAGCATTTATTATAAACATGTCAAATTGTAATATAAAATGTGGGGCAGCCCCCCCCCCCTTTTAACCACTTAAAACGTACAAGTTAAATAGATAAGAAATACTTTAAAACATCGGTAATGTTTGCCTTAACTATATAATATTATAATCGCTCGTTGAAAAAGAATTGACAATAACTGATCACATTTATTTACAGCTATTAAAGTAGAAGCATGTTATATGAGTAATCAAAAACACCATAGGTGTGAAAAAGATGTGGCCAAAAAAAAGATTTAGCGTGCGATTTAAAGGAATGAAATCAAAATTGGTAGCTAAACTTGTAGCATTGATAATAATTTAACAGCATATATTCATTCATTAGTTAGCTAGGTTGCGTATTTTGTTTTACCCACCATCATGCCCCAAGTTGAACAGGTTATTCTTCGGAACAAACCGTTACTTTACAGAACCAACCAGATTCTTTAAAATATATGGTGGTAGGTTTTCCTCTCTAAAACAATGTTAATAGCTTCGTTTAAAATAACGCCATGGAATTTAGATTAACAGATTATTGTCATCACCCCCATGTAATCGGTACAGCCGTATCAAGCATCATTATTTATGCTAATTGCTTAAGCTAATATCACTTGACGCTAAACGATCTTTAATTAGGATTATTTCATAAAATTTAGTAAATTTGTGCTGAAAAGTTGGCAATGAATGATCAATAACAACCATACATCCGTATGATTATTTTGAAAACTTAAGTTGGAAACTGCTAATCTAGTTTACTTGGTCTAACCAATAGTTGTGTATCTGCACGTTCTTTCACCTTATAGTTTTGTTGGTCTAAGTCAACCGTATTTAATCCGAATGACAAAAACTAAAAAAGGTCTACTTTTACTTTTAGTTCAGGCTGTAGTAAAAATGTTAGACTGGTAGCTCACGTGACTTTTTGCGTTGACGTGCGCAAAAATTTACATCACACTTGAGCGTTTTTTTGTTCGATAACTTTGCGCATGTTCCTTATATTTACACCTGATGAGACGCCTAATTATACGTTGTAAAGATATATCAGTGTACCAAATTTGAAAAAATACATAAAAGTAAGTATGTTTTTCTATCAAATAAAGTTTCCGTACTTTTGGTGCGAATAATAAAAAAAAGGAAGAAACTCAATTAAAATTGGAGGTGTTACGTATCAGGTATTTATTAATGTATTGCCTTGAAATTTGGTACGTGAAATACGGGTCCAGTAGAATACATCCACTGAAAATATGTAATAGTTTGGATTACCACAGTCCGAGATAAAGAAGGTGAAAAATCGCTAAATTATCACACCTGTTAATAACACACTGTGTGTCCTGCAGCAGGTTGTTTTGACCGTACGACACACTACTGTGTGTCTTGATATAAATGTTTGCTGCCTGAACAGTAAGTACCTATTACATCGCCTCAAAAAGTCCAAGGTAGCATAGAATATACAATATTGGAAATTATAGAAACACACAAGCGATACACATACAGGAATCACAAACTAAGAGTAATGGCCATTTGCTTTACACACACAACGTTACACCTTGTTTTTATGCTGATATAAGTTTATCAATGAACGACTGCGGAATATTGTTCTAAATATCCTATTATTATGATATTTAGCCCCACAATTCAACCAATTATATGGTCGTCGGTTGGCCTTCTCAGTTTTCACATACACCCTCAAGAAAGTTACAAACAGGACTTTGTGCAACCTAATACTAACTCGTGAGTGTTCCTTTAGTCTCTTTACCGTCAAGATATCGCTTCATTACATTAATATTACTGTATGCTTGAAATCATTGTCTTGCTGGAAGGTGAATCCCCATTGAGAAATGGCACCAGTTTTGTGTATGTTACTGTTGGTTGAGATGCAATCCCAAACTTGTACTTACTCACTACCATGCATCTCTGTAGATTTTGTACATTGACTATGATGACTATCCTCTCCGTTGTTGACTAAGTCGAAAATTTGAACTTTCAGATTGACCTGTAAATAGTTCAAATCCAGCTTTGTCCATTTCAATGTTTGTGGTGCGATGCCAATTTCAGTCATTTGGTTGAGTTACTTCTTCCCAGTATCGGTTTTCTAGCATTTCTTGAGACAACTTTATACTAATATGTGTGTTACTGTTCTTGAGGTAGCATGTATACTTGTATTTATAGCAAAGTTGTTGGTCTACCGTTATCTATCTCATAGAAATATACCATGAGATACTTAACTGTACTTTTCGAGAGTTTCAGTGTTTACCCTCGAAAACTTCTATTATTAGCAGTCAGGGGTGGCGCCAGCTTTTTCCCAGTGAGTGGTTTGAAATGGCCTAGACACAAAATTGACGGAGCTGTACTGTGCATCTTGTGGTCATGCATACTGTATTATCTAGAAGCTGAATCAGCTTTAACAGTAAGCACTTTTCGTTGGATTTGGTTTGTTTTGAATTTCGCGCAAAGCTACACGAGGGCTATCTGCGCTAGCCGTTCCTAATTTAGCAGTGTAAGATTAGAGGGAAGGCAGCTAGTCATCATCACCCACCGCCAACTCTTGGGCTACTCTTTTACCAACGAATAGTGGGATTGACCGTCACATTATAATGCCCCCACGGCTGAAAGGGCGAGCATGTTTGGTGTGACGGGGATTCGAACCCGCGAACCTCAGATTGCTAGTCGAGCGCCGTCCCTGTTAGTAGTATCAATTTCACGTACCCTCTTCAGAGTCTTGCATACAGCTTCTACTGAAACATGGTATCAATTTCTTCACGATCTCGTGTACTACTACTACTGGGCATAATAAGACAGTTATTCTATTAAAGGGGATGGCATTCTTGTAGTAGTTGCCTATTATACGACTTTCCTCGCCGTTTTCATCAGTATTTCAAATAATGTATTTATGTTAAATATTTTATTTCCTTTGTATAGTCTACAAACGATCTATTTTAAAAAAAATTCTTGAATATAAGAATAATACATGAATATTGCCACCGTTCATTTGCCGTACAAAGCATGTTTGAAATTTTACTTGTAATTAAAGAGAGCAGCATTCGCGGACGAATGCAACATGGCCAATTTTGACACGAGAAAAATCGTGCAAAACACAGAAAAATTAAAAACTGTCTATACCACTGCTTGGAACCAGCAATAATATATCTTTGTACCAAATCCCATGTAAGTTGGCTGACATACACATGAATAGTTCAGGAAAACCCCAAATTGTGCTTTCCTTGCTATAAAATTGAGCAAAAGACAAAAATTCTAAAATTGTCTATGATACTCTATATCTCTGTGTGAGATCTGTAAAAAATCATCTTTTTACCAAATCCTATGTAAATTGGCCAAAATACGGCGGAGTAATTGTCAAAAAAACTTAAAATTATGCTTTTTTGTGGCATCTTGACCTCCCTGTAATTACTAAAAAAAGGGCAAGTCTAACATTTTTGTTTGTCCATGTGTGTTGCCTGTAGAAAAGTATCTTTGTATCAAATTCCATGTAAATTGGTCGAAACAATGCTAAATAATTGACCAACACCCCTTAAATTATGGCTTGATCCCCCTAGAATTAGCATATTCCACATTTTTTATGTATGTGTATGGGACCTCAAAAAAGTATCTTTGTACCAAATCCCATGTAAACTGGCCTAAATACGACGGAGTAATTGTAAAAAAACACACACACACACATAAAATTATGCTTTTTGTGGCATGTTGATCCCTCCGTAATAAATAGAAATAGAAAATTCTATCATTTTTGTTTGTCAATGTGAGGGATCTGTTGAAAAATACCTTTGTATCAAATCCCATGTAAATTGGTCAAAATACGGCCGAGCAATTGACCAAAAATCCCCAAATCATGATTTTTTTAGCTCTTGCCCCCTAAAAAGACTCAAAATGGGCAAATCCAAGTTTATTGTGTCAATGGGGTGGGGGCATTAAAATTTATATTTGTGCTAATTTTCATCTTGATTGCTATATATATATACGACCGTACAGGAGCCCAAAATATACATTTTGGGGCTGTTTGACCTTTCATCCCATACATTCTTTAGAAAAACCTAAATGAAAAAGGTGTCTGGGCATATTGGACCAAGGAATAACCCTACCAAGTTTGAAATCAATCTGCAGAAAAATGAAGGAATGGCGGTCGATTGAAAAATGTTTGGAAGAAGAAACAATACAAAAACAGTATGTCTCTATGGAGACGTAATGAAAGCTACTTAAGATTAGTCATTTTCTCTCGAGCAATTATATGAAATAATTACAACTTAAAGTGACATGGTTGAAACGTTATTGCTGTTTTATACGAACTGTCAGTACTAGTACTGAATTAATTAATCACATCCCTGTGCAATGTTTAAATAGCAAATTTATTATCTGTGAAAAACAAAAGCTTAATAATACTTGTTACACTTCCACAATTACGTCTTTCATCAATTATATTTCACCACCTTTACAGATCATTGATTTATTACGGAAATATATATTGCTATTTGTTACTTCTTATTATTATTTTTGGTTCTATATCATATGAATTTCGACACTGAACATAGGCTAAAGAGGTTACAAATCAAAGCTACGCAAGTACTACAAAATAGGGTCTTGTCCAAAAGCCACGAAATAGTTTAACGCTCTTGAGTCTTGACAATGAATATAGAAACATTTGATGCTTCTGGTAGTTTTCTTTGTAGATTCGTCCGGTTTTTATAAGAAGTTTATATTAAATAAATGTTTCGATTTATTAAGTTTTGTTCATATATGGAATCTTTCATTTGCCCAATTATCTTTCAATATATTTATCTGTGTTTTAAGCTACAGGTATCTGTTGCAACTTTAATACCGGTTCCGATAACTGGCGATTTATAATTATACACTTTCTGATACTTGTTGCATAATCGAGAGACCTGGTCTTTGGTTTCAAGCCATTTTTCAAATTCCTATAGTTGATGTGAGTAAAAGGCAGATTCGAAGACAATATTATTGATACTGACAATATACACACAGGCTTCCATTGGCTGCTTTTTGAATTTGACAATTAGTTGTATTCACATATACGCTTCCAATGGTTATCTTTTAAGTCTGACAATTAACTGTCTTGTTGCACACGAAGCAGCATAGACAAAAATAGCCATAAGAGTTTAGCCGCTTTGAACAGTATGGTTTCCAAATTCTTTATTAATATATAATGAAGGGTGAATAAACACATAACTGTCATTTACTTGGAATGAAACTGAAATGTCCATATAAAATATAAAACGAAATTACTTCATAGGCTCAGTCGACCTACTGTTGGTTACATTCTACTGGAACACCTAAGTAGCAGAAACTTTAATTATCGTGTAAATATTCATTAGGTCTGCAACGATGTCGTCGGTACTAGCTGTATAAGTTTCAAAATAAATAATAACTTTCTGTTCGAATAGCCACACTAAATGGTGTTTGCTTACTAATGAACAAATCAAAATATGCTTCTAATTATTTTGATGAAGTGAGACTTTTCAACGTAGAGACCCTTTACTCCTTCCTGGTGTTTCTGCTGCTACATAATTATAGTTACTTATGTGTAGCTGTTTTCTTTTGTTTAAATACGTGCTTGGCCAAATAAACAAAACATCAGCGGAGAGTTCAATTCCTACTCTTATTCATTTCTTTATCAAGTGATATATATACCATATCACGTGGTTTGTTTCTCTTCTGAGTAAATGTTTTCATGTTTCGTTTAGAGAGAGAGAGAGAAAGATCAGTCGTTCAATTTAACTATTTTTCTAAAATCAGCCAACGATAGTGATAAAATAAGACTGCATTTTAGTATTAGTCTCAGTACTATAAAATTATTTTCGTCTGTTCTCGTTATCGTTCAAAAAGTTTGAGAATGACGAAATATGTCTCTCACTAGACCAAAAAAAAAAAACAGTAGTGGCGAGATGGGCTGTGGCGCTGAAGTAGCAGTCTGTAGGGGGAAACACTGTGTTAGTGTAGCTACTTTCTTCGTAGGAAGGTGCGTCTTCAGTTTGAATACACAGATATTATTTGAACTCCCATCCTCGTAAAGAAATCCTTACGTGGTGAATTTCTATATAACATTGGAACACTTAGCTAATAATTGGATCCAGTATTGTCGTACTGTGTAAACCATTCATATTGGTAATATGAAGGAGTGGTAAGTAAAATATTTATTATATTTTTAAAGCTTTGAATGAGGAAAGTTTTTCCATACGTTTTAGATAAATTAAAGAAGACGTCAGATGGTTGCCTGTCTCTATATTATTAGTTTTTATCTTATCTCTTACAGAAAATTGTAAGAGTTTCGCTACTTTTAACTTAATGTATTTTACATGATTTCATTGACTCAGTCGATTTACTGTTATATACGTAAGTAGCAGGAATTTCGTAAAAGTTTCAAAATAAATAAGTCTCACTAGATGTTGTTTGCTTAGTATCTATGAAATCAAAATACGCTTCTAATTATATTAATGAAGTGATAAAACTCATTTTATTTTTATTTTTTTTTAGAATATATAATTCCCAGGAAAATATTGCCTCCTGCGTTATCAGTAACTGCGCATTAGAAATGATGACATAAAATACCAGCGACTTGCTGGTCCAGCGGTATGTGTGCAGTGTAATTATGGTTGTAATCGAGTTGCGATCATTGTGGTGGATACAACACAGATACCCCATTGCGTAGCTTCGCCCTTAACAATAACCAAATAAGCAAAGCTACTCGATGGCTATCTGCGCTAGCCGTCCCTAATTTTGGGAGTGATCGGAGGGATGGCAGCTAGTTAACTCCAATGAATAGTGGGATTGACCATCACATTATGACGCCCCTACGGCTGAAAGAGCGAGCATGTTTGGTGATGGGATTCGAACTCACGACCCGTAGATTGCCAGTCGAGTGCCATAACCACCAAGTCATGCCAGACGTTTACTAAAACACCCAATGGGTTTTAGAATATAAAAAATTATGGATTTCGCCAATGGAGTTGAGTGTGTCATGGCCAAAATATCCTCAATGAACTACAATGTGACCACTCTGTGTGAATGTAACTGCAACTTTCAACAATATTCCAAGCACAGCCTACAGCACAATCATGTTTCCATTTGAACGCAGCTGAAACTCCTGATCTCAGAGTCAACATTTCATGTGAACATAATTACAACTATTGACTATGACACTAGTATTCCGTGCGAACTACAAACTACAAAACAACCTTTCTATTTATAGCTAATTTAAATGCAATAGCTGACGCACCACTATTAATTCACAATATATAATAATTATGAAGGGGAATTATGATGAAGTTACAAAGACAATTTGATAATCATGTCTTCTTTGTTGTTCTTGTTAGTGTTATTAAAGGACTAAGAACGCATTTACTAAACTTGGTTTGTTTATTTTTCGCCCTTTGTTTTTCATTGTACTCCAGTGCTTTGGTTTTGTTGATTAGCAGGACCTTTCGAAAGTAACCTCAAATAGTGCATTTTCCTTAAATTTTGAGGTCTCTTAATTATGCTAGGTTTTCAATTATGCTAAGTAACGTATTTCTAAAAACCAATGAGTATCAGGGTTCAACAGGCTGGCTGAGATACGAAAGACGTAATGATTGTCTAGGCGCAATATGTATCATGTAGTTATTATACATCATAGTTAAATCACTTACAAATCAAATCTTAGATACGAATTAAGAACATATTATTATTTATTCTATTTATTTATTATTATTTTATTCGAATTAACTTTAGTACCATAACATAGAAGAAAAATGTAATTACGTCACCTATAACAGAGTTTTTCAACTTGTGGATTGCGACTCGTGGACGCCCACGAAGGGTGTCCAGAAGATCGCAATGACGTAAAATATTTATAGTTTTCCCTTTTTTGTTGTTGTTTTTACAATAAACAGAAACCATCTAAATGCTAAGTGAAATGAGTTGGTCAGTCAATCTTCACACCAGCGACTCCAACAAGTATGATCAGTCAATCTTCACATCAGGGACTCCAACAAATATGATCAGTCAATCTTCACACCAGCGACTCCAACAAGTGTGATCAGTCAATCTTCACACCAGGGACTCCAACAAATATGATCAGTCAATCTTCACACCAGCGACTCCAACAAGTGTGATCAGTCAATCTTCACACCAGGGACTCCAACAAATATGATCAGTCAATCTTCACACCAGCGACTCCAATAAGTAGCGCTATATTTGCTTCACTTTAATTATGTAAATCAGGATTGTCAAGAAGACAAATACAGAAATCGAAAGCTACTTGGAAATAACTTGTTTTGGCGCTCCATATGCATCAGTCCATGAATGGAACTGCTTCACAAATTCAAACAGACACGCCCATCCTACTGATAATTAAGTTACGTAAATTTTTTTCGTTTTTTAATGTTTGATAATCTGGTCTTAGAAGTGAGTCGCGAGTATGAAATCTGACTTTAAAAAAAGTGGTCGTAATACGCTAAAATTTAGGAAACACGACCTTCAGATTTTATGATATTTGTTTGCTTGTAGTTATGAACAAAATTGCACGATGGGCTATCTATGCTATACCCACCACAGGTATCGAAACCCCATTTTTAGCGTTAAAAGGTCGCAGATATACCACTGAGCCACTGGGAAGCAGACTTTATAAAGATAGGAAAAACACATTTTTAAATGTTTAACTTTTCTTAGTTACCAGAATTAGTTACGACATCCTACATGTAAACATGAGCCTTATTTCATCACAGCACTTTAAGTGTAAATTACGATATGCGATAGGCATCTGGGAGGCTAGCGTATGTATATTGTGATTACCGGAATACAACGTCATCGTACGTTTACGCACATAAAAATCAACTATGTGCTTATACCAAGAATTTCCTGTCTGCCGCCAACCCGTGACGTCATTAGACTGTCTGCAAAAGTTATATAGGCATCTGCTTTTCAAAATGTGGAATACTGAAGTCATATCCGTTTGTTTCTCTTGGAATTATTAGCAACTGTTTAGGGTCAGATTACAAAATACTAGCAGCGTTGCCAGGGTTTTCGAAAAAAAACAAACAACAACCCTACTCTCCCTGTTTCTCCGTTCCATATTTCGATAGGTAAAAAATATTTTGTGAATTTATGAAAAAAAACAACAACAACCTTTGGTTTGAAACTACGAACCTGTTTTAAATCAGGGGTTCCTTATGAACGATGTTTTTTTGTTGTTGTTTTTTTTTTCCTTCACTGGCAAATATAAATAGGCCCTTATAAAGAATATTTATAAATTATATTATCTTATACACGTATGAGTACCCGTTCTGGCGAACAGAATAAACCTAGCTCTATTCCTCCAATCCCACGTCATTTCTCCTCAAATATTAAAATTTCAAACGTAAATATATATGTAATATTGTGTTCAATTTACTTTAATATAAATTTAATATATTTTTATAAATGTGATACCGTATTCACCTTATGACATTGATGTATGAAATATACTACAAACAAAATGCAATATTGTATTTTATAACATATCAAAAGAAAAAACTCCCTTCAAGAGAAAAGAAAGAGAATAAAATACAATCTCTGACTTGACTTTAATATCATTTTACACAATAAGTATTATAACGTAAGTCCTTATTATTTTCACGTGTATATTTTATAGGGTAGGCCTACTGTTTCCTTTTTTACACACAACATTCTAATTCCGCATACATTTATTTTGTGTGTGAAGTTAAATATATGCTGTATTAGTAGAAGTACAATTAATAATGCATAATTAAATAGGCCTATCTATTCTAATGCTAATAAAAAATATAATTTCCAGGTTCAACCCATTTTCCACCTCATGCAAGTTCTTTACCATTTACGCTGACTTGACTTTAATCTCATTGTACACAATATAATTTAAGCTTTACTCTTTTCGCGTATTCTATTTTATGGCAGACGGCATAATTTTATTTTATAGGCTAGGCCTAATGTTTGCTTTTTCACCTACGACATTCTAATTCTACATACATTTATTTTGTGTGTGAGGTTTGATCTGTAACTAAATAGGGCTATAATGGTATATTCTAAATTAAATGCTAACTCAAACTTACCAAAAAATGTCAAGTCTGCGTAGAATTTATTTGCGTAATGTCCATGTTAACGATATAATTACCCGTGCGGTAGCAGACGATATGCACGTATATTAACAAAACGTTATTGAGTGAAGTGTGACCTGCGCAGTGAACACGGCGGACAAACAAGTAAACAGAGAGATTTTGAATTTTATCTATAAATGGATAAATAAAACAAAATATAGTTCTATCACCATATGTGCAAGAAAGTATACATATATATTTTTGTAAATTTATAAAAAAGTTAAACATCAAATATTATAGAAATTGTTAAATGTTTATCAAAAATCTGCCATAGACACAGAATTTGTGTATAGATTATTATTAATGCTTTGTCTACATTTTCACAATAGTTTACATTTTTTTACTCTTACAGTTTAAACATCGATAGGTGAAGAAGAATTATCATCCAATAGATGACACCAGTAGCTCAGCGGTAAGTTTGAGGGCTTATGAGGCTAATAATCGAATTTCGATACTTGCGATAGGCACAGCACAGATAGCCCATTGTGTAGCCTTGCACTTAATAACAAACAAATCCAATAGATCTAACAGAAAACAAACTTAAACTGCAGATGTTTCTTACACACCTCTGGGACCTGGCATGGCTTGGCGGTTAAGTCACTCGACTCACAATCTGCGGGTCACAGGATCGAATACCATCACTGAACTTGCTCGTCCTTTCAGCTGTGGGGGTGCGTTATAAAGTACCGGTCAATCCAACTATTCGTTAGTGAAAAGTAGCCCAAAAGCTGGCGAATGAATGGTGTTGACTAACTGCCTTCTGTCTATTCTATCACTTATAAATTAGGAACGGCTAGAGCGATAGCCTTCGAGGAGCTTTACGCGAAATTTTGTAAACAAACTGACACATATTTCTGGTTTGAAATATGTACTGAATAATTTAAGAGACTTGTAATAAAAACATCTGTAGACTAAGTGGGTTTGTGTTTTGTCGCAAATATTAGGCCTATTGGGCCTATTGCTTTGTCAATCTGGGCATTCAAACGGTAACTTTGAAATTTCATATGTTTCTTATATAAATAGCATTTCAAATAAAGCTCACGAGTTCTAGCATTAATCGAAAGGATTTTTGAGCACTAACTGAAATGCTATGACATGAAATATGTTATGGTTAAATTAAGAGAAATAAACGTTCAAAAATATATATAGTCTAAGTTATTTTTATCGGTAAGGCTAGTTTACAGTTTTTTACAGCATATTTTATACATGGAGGTTATAAAGAAAACCCCAGATTATAAAACGATTTCGTCTTAAAAATTTCATCAAAGGCACATTGAGATTCATACGTTTTATTCAGGAAAGCTTGCGTCACTTCTGGTTCAGGTGAAAGTAATTACTGGGTGTCCGAAATGCCTGAAACCATAGATGATTTGCAGTTGTTGTTTTTATTTCAGATACATGACTGATTATGGTGCTGTCAAAGCATGAGAAGGTCGAGTTAATCCTGCTGTTAATCCAGATTTGTTTCGAATTAAAAGGACAGCATGTGGAACACATTCTGTAAAATTCGTTGAAGTGCCTTTGGTTCCAGAAATTATGGACACACTGTAGACTGTGCGCGCAAATGTCATTGGTTTGGTTGTTGTTAAGCGCAAAGCTACATATTAGGCAATCTGTACACAGCCCACCACGGGTGTCGAAACCAGAATTTGAGCGTCGAGTGTGTGTGTGTGTGTGTTCTTATAGCAAAGCCACATCGGGCTATCTGCTGTGTCCACCGAGGGAAATCGCGTCCCCTATTTGGGTATTATAAATTCGAAAACTTACCGATGTCCCATCGGGAGACACTGAGCGTCGAAAGCCAGCAGGTTTACCACTGTGCCACATGTTATTTGCCATCATTGTTGATTTAACAAGCGTAATACAAAAATTTACTATTGTGTCACTTCTGATCAAAATAACTAACATTATCTAAAGATTCAAAAACAATTAGTACGACGATATTATGATGCCAGTCTTAGTCATTTGAAAAGTTATGTTACGGAAAGACATTTTTTTTCCTTCTCCAGCTTCGTACAGAAAGAACTATCAAAACAATATTCTAGTTATATGCATCCTACCATTGCGACCCTCCTCTTCCCCAATGGCTCAGCGAAATATTTGAGGATATATAACGCTAAACCCTTGGAAATGATACTGGCAGTAGGCACAGCACAGATAACCCACCGAGTAGCTTTGTGCTTCGTATCAAGCACATTTTTATTCGTTCACTGCTAAGCCCAAAACTGCACATTTGGTATCTTTGCTCTGCTCACCGCGAATATTGAAACCCAATTTTTAGCGTTAAAAGCCCACAGACTTACCGCTGATATTATTCCTTTTTTCTATTTCTTGACGATGATTCGAGCTAATAATTTAAAAACGGCATTTGTTCGAAATGTCGCCAACAAATTAAAAAATATAATACTTAAAGGTGATTTACCTTCAAAAGTCTGAATGCCTTATTTTACCACCTTCACATTTTTTTCCGTTGTTTTTTTCTATATGTGTATCTAGTGTTAGCAATTTTATTGATTAACAAAATAATTTTAATTCATATCTATTTAATAATCACGTCAATCCCATTAGCCTCATTCTGATGTTTTATAAATTATTTTAAGGGTTGATGCACCACCTGTCTGTTACTCAAATGCTAAAAATCTCGCAAGTCCAGTCTGGAGAACAGACGCTCTTACTGTTCCCTGTTCTTACTTATCGAGGTCCACCCACGGTAGTCAAGTCTTTTATCCTGCACCGAAGTGCAAGACAGCATGTAAAACTTCATTCATATGTCAGCCCTGGAGAAATATGGTTCCGAATTGTGATTATTTATTACCTAAAGGTTTGTATTGTCCTCTTTACAATTGTTTGAACATTCAAATCTAGATAATACTAATGTACTTTCGCAATGTTCCCGAAAACGTCCCGTTTCAAGAGTAAATCAAACCAAAATTAAGAGTAACAAATATTTTTATTTCTAAATTTTGAAGTTTATATGTCATGCTGTTTGGTAGTCTACAGGGTGCATAATTCTTCTCGTGATTCATGACATGCGCATGTCATGACAGTATAAATTGCAATGTTAAGCGTCCCTTATGTGACGTCATTTTAGTGGTTACTAACTGACTGACAGACAATACACTACTGTATTCTGGTGTGAGTTGTTAAAACAGGTAACCACTCCAGGTGGCCTTTGGCCCACTTTAGTGGAAATTATTTTACCGCCATTTATCGTAAAATGTTTTTTAATATTTAAATGTAAGCCCAAGCAATAGTCATGTTTGAAAGTTTAAGATTTCCATTTCCCTTTCTAGCTGGGTCAAAGAAAAAAAGTTTTTCAATGTTTGTCAAAATTTGTAGTTAGAACATTAAAAACTCGTATCGAGATTCACGCGTTTTTATTCTGAAGAAAATTTTCATATATATATATATATGAAGAGGTTTTGTTATTGAGAGAGGTGAAATTATGGTATGAGTTATCATTGCTTGACCACTTTTCTTTTTTCTTTTTTTTTTGTTTCTCTAATCAAAATAACAAATTGAAAATGTCGGTAAATCGAGACGTTGTTTTCTATCCTATTAGTGATTAGGTTGAAATAAACATGATCCCACTTAATTTTTTTTTAGGAAACTGTCTAATTGTACATAACTTTCAAAGAACTGTTGATCCCCTTTTTGAACTACATTTGTCATTTAAACTTTTGTTTGGTACATTTGAGTAGTTTATTCATGTATTATAGTCTAAATATTGTATATTTGATATAATCAGAACTCAAGTTCAAGCTGTTACCACGTCATGATGTAATTAAATTAAGTGCTATTATTCAATACATTGCTTCAAAATGAAGTCTATTTTCAAGCACTTGATACAAAATTTAATATTAATTCGAAGTCACAGACACGTTAATATATATATATATATGTTTAACTGCACTCTCATTAAGTACATTTTATTCTATTTCATTCGATAATAATCAATGAATCTTTTTATTTTTTTAGACCCTCGCCAGTGGACACGAGAACATGTGGCCTGCTGGCTGCAGCACGTCATTACGCGCCATCAGTTGCCTTCAGTTCAGCTTGACCGTTTTTTGATGAATGGGAAAGCACTGTGTTTAATGAGTATGGAAATGTTTGTTCATAGAGTACCATTAGGAGGAAAGCTGCTCTACAAAGACTTCCAGCTTCGTCTTAGTACTGTCCTTTATAGTTGATACTTAAAGTATCTCGAAGTGTAGCCTAAAATAAACATCACTCAGAATGAAGTTGCTCTAATATTGCTCACAGTTGATTGAAAGAAGTCAAGTTGTTCTTATATTGCTCACAGTTGACTTCTTTCAATCAACTGTGAGCAATATTAGAGTAACTTCATTTTTTGGTGTAGCCTAAAATAAACATCACTCAGAATGAAGTTGCTCTGATATTGCTCACAGTTGATTGAAAGAAGTCAAGTTGTTCTTATATTGCTCACAGTTGATTGAAGAAAGTCAAGTTATTCTTATAGTACTCAATATTGATTGCAGGAAGTCAAATCGTTTACTTTACTGAAGAATCGCAATAGTTTGACCAAATACCCATTTCAGTTAGTATGTTTCATGTCACACGATCAGTGATTACTCGTATCATATTTATAAGTTAATAGAAACTACGAATAATACCAATATTCAGATTGGTATATAACAAAACCAATCTGTACAGTTTTCCTCTCACATTATTAACTCCCTAACATATGATGTTCTTTTATTTTAGAGTGTCACAGCACTATTTTAAACTGTGTGTGTGTTGCTCGAAGAGTACATGTTGTTTTTACAAAATAAACCATCTGTTTGAATGAATGCTCTACACTTGGATTTTGTGATAATGGAAATTCATCGCTGTTTACTGTTTTATTTTTGTTTTAGTTCTTCTTGGCTGAAAATATAAAAGTGTTTAATTTATTTTTTCACCTTTGAAATTCATTTAGTATAACACACGGCTTAGTAAACACTCTTGTAAAAAAAGCGTAAAAAACAGAACAGTACATTAGGGTTCAATTAACTGTAAAGAATAACCAGAAATTCAGAGTAGATTTATTTACAGACTTAACTCAATGTGTCATTTTATATATCATGATATAATATCATTGGATCATTCGGGAAAAAAAATATATATATAAGTATTCTGAATGGTTCTAACTTTTTATTTGTTGCATAACAAAGTAGATATTTTCTGCTGATGTGCATTGAGTTAATTTTGCATTTAGCCGTAAACATACAGTAAAAACGGTCTTATACATAAAGATTACTATATTTAAATTACATGGTTGTCTGTCTGTGACTGGTATTCGTATTGTAACGCACGAAACACTATAGACCCAATAGATCAATTTCAGAAGCCGACAATTAAAATTAATCTAAAAAAAAATCTAGTTGAATGAAATGTTTTACCATCTCCAGTAGACTTTGTGTTTACACCGAATTGCATTATTTTCAAAAGAACTCTCGTGCCTAGCGTGTGTTTATTTTATCAAAAATAAGGAAATCGTAATGTAGACAAATGTTTATTTACAAAGTAACAGACAACTCGATTTGTGAGCATATATCAGGAGCCTAACATCACGTAACCTTAATGATTATGTGCTGATCTTAATTCACGTTTTCTACACACACAAAAGAATTAGTATGAACTTTAAAGAATATTGTTGTTGTTATTGTTTGAACGCAAAACTACACAATGGGCTATGTGTATTCTAACCACCGTAGGGAATATCGAACCCCGGATTTTAGCGTTGTACATCCTTAAAATTACCACTGACCCATCTTCTAAGTCCCCAGTGGCACGGCGGTATATCTACGGAATTACATCGCTAGAAACTGGGTTTCGATACCCGTGGTGGGCAGAGCACAGATAGCCCATTGTGTAGCTTTTTGATTAACTTAAGAAAGAAAAAAAAACTATCTTCTAAATCACTAACTTTTAATTTCCCAAAACACAGTTTCTCAATGGTCTTATAGATACAAATTATTTAGATTACATGGTTGTCTGCAAAAACCAAGCCCAGATTGTGAATATAAAGATTAATGACCCGTAACCTGTTGTTGCAATCTGGAAACATTAATCCTCCAAAGCCGTGATCAAAGACTAAGGCAATTGAGAAAGCCGTTGTATTACAAATCAATAGTTTTTTGCTTTCAATAGTTATGAAATGTTCTACTCCCAAGCCTATCAAAATTTAGTTTAGTTTTAGCACGAAACACTTGTAATTTGTCTAAACCACTAAGAAGAAAGGAGCTACGTTGTACATTCGACATTACACACTTTAGTGCAAGTCCACTGCATCGGAACACGAAACTTAGAAATGCTAGTAACGTTATGGAAATACCAAATGTTAACCTAACATAGAATTACCATTTAGTTTAACCATACGGTTTTTACAGTAGCCAGAATTTTGGTCCACAGTATATTTTATAAGGAAATTTTCATTGAATGTAATCAAATCTGTTTTCCATAGATGCGAGTGATTTATGTGAAAACAAAATTATTAATAACTACTAAAACGTGCCCCCCTTCCCATCATCAGGGGGATTTTTCAGAGGAAGGGCTGTACAATTTTTACCCAAATGAGGCTATGAATAAGAAACTTCTACTACCAGTTTTTCCCGAATGAAAGTAAAAATTGCCCGAATCACCAAATGAAAATTTGTCCGAATGGCCGTATGTATTGCAAGCTCGGGGGTCTGCCCCCCCCCCCCGTACATCTATGAGTCTAACACGTCTAACAAACCTACACGTGTATCAGCAAGAGGTTTAAATATAAACTATATGCTTTGGTATTTTTTAACCTGAAAGGCACCTTATGTTGCACATGGGTTAATCGACCAATAGATCAGAGAGACATCAAATGTAAACCACTGATTAAAAGTCTTCTTCATTGAAAATGGTCTTTGTTCTGTTTACAAACTGATAAAGGCGTAAGCCGAAACGTCGGGTAGAATATATAAACATTTATCTAAAGTTATTTGTCGTCTTCATTGAAAATGGTCTTTGTTCTGTTTACAAACTAAAAAAGGCGTAAGCCGAAACGTCGGGTAGAATATATAAACATTTATCTAAAGTTATTTGTCGTCTTCATTGAAAATGGTCTTTGTTCTGTTTACAAACTGAAAAAGGCGTAAGCCGAAACGTCGGGTAGAATACATAAACATTTATCTAAAGTTGTTTGTCGTCTTCATTGAAAATGGTCTTGTTCTGTTTACAAACTGACCAAATCTAATGTAGTGTTTTTTTAGTCAAATCTTTCTTTTTTATTACACATCGTCTAAACATCAGCTTCCTAGCTATCTTGCACTTTGTTTATTTAATTTATTTATTTTAAGGAGGATGTATAGTAAACTGAGCACCTTTAACTCTGCCAAAACCTTGTCCTTTTCCCATGCTTCCAAGTTTTACTAATATTTATATGCTTATATGAAAGAACATACTATGAAGTAGCCAGTTCGGCAACAAAATCTGGCAGGCATATTTTACAGCGTTAATCTGAATTTTTATTGCATTTTACTTTATCATCCATGCATTGCATTGTACAAGCCCCCCGGTGGCTCAGCAGTAAGCCTGAGGGCTTACAACGTTACTAATCAGTTTCGATACCCCCGGTGAGTACAGCAAATATAGCTTATTGTGTAGCTTTTCTCTTAACAACAAAGATACAAAAGCATTGCACGGAAATCAGAAAAAGAAAGATATAATCCACTGAATCTATTAGAAGTAACAGTTTCAGATAATAGATGGAGTAACTTACAAAACTAATTTTGAACGTATTTTAAAAGTCTATTGAAGCTAATATGCTTTTTGTTTTGCAAATTTAAAATAATGGTTTAATTATCCTTATTATAATCAAATACCGTTAAATACTAATTCGAAAAGTGAAATATTTAATGGATTTTAGTACCTAGTCACCAGATGAGTTGCTATACTCTATAAGAACCTTTGGCAGGGAAAATTAGTTTTACCAACGAATCCCTTAAGATATACATAATATTTCAAACATATTGTAACAAGCAGACATGCCAGATTAGATTCTGTTTTCACTCTTTTGAATCCCTTAGATTATTTTGCATTCTATGCATATTAAAAGTCTAATTAAAATCTAATGTATTTCACACTGTGGAAAATTTGAATTACTAGGTTAGCATAATCGACCCAAATACAAGATTATGGCATTTAAAGTACCAGTTGCTAGATAGCCCAAAATTGGACACTAAACTATTGACATTAAAGTTAATGGATTTGTAGCAAACATAATATTTTCTCGTGGTAAATTGATAGGGTGTAACTGAAGTAATTTAAGATATAATAATTTCTATCCTGCAATAATTTTAATCATTATATTGGTACTGTGAACCCACCTTACGTGATACATAGTCTAAACGGTCAGATGAGAGAATACCAGGTTAAATGTATATTCGACTCTAATATTGAATTACCGTTAGAAGGAAGGAAATCAGTCAGCAATATCCGCCGCTTCAAGGGCCTTTTGAACTGAATAATGAAATTGACGGTCTCTCTTATAATGCACACACAGCTGAAAGTTCGTAGTATTTTCAGTCCGGCTTGATAACCTTATCAACCACGCCCAACACATTTAGATATTGTAGCAAAAATCTATAGCGTTTGCAGGTAGTTGTTGCTATTTTCTTTGCATTTAAGAGTTCAACTGTTGCGAAAATAAATCAAAGTTTATTCTAAAACAAAAATAAAACAATTATTAACTATATGATTTAAATAAACGTAACAACTAATTTAACAGTGAAAGACTAGAGGGAAGGCAGCTAGTCATCACCATCCACCGCCAACTCGTTGGGTACTCTTTTACCAGCGAATAGTGGGATTGATCGTCACATTATAATGCCCCGACGGCTGAAAAGGCGAGCATTTTTGGTGGGACGGGGATTCGAACCCGCGACCCTCATATTGCGAGTCGTGCGCCCTAACTACCTGACCATGCCGGGCCAGTTAATAAGGAGCACATCATAAACCCGTGTGACTAGTAAAAAGTAATCATGTTTATCTGTATAAATATAAAAATACTGTCTATTGTATGTCCATGGACATACTTTGCAGGAAGTGAATGGATCTTGACAAAATTTGGTATAGGAATTCATTAGGCCAATGTGGGAATACATATAAATTTTCAGTTTTGCATTTTGCGTTTTGGGGTTTTTTATGGTTGTTTTTGCGTTTTTTACTACTACTTCGCCCCCTGTTGATGGAACTTCACCAAATTTGTCATGAAGGTTTGTTGGGTCCATGCAGAAATACATGCAAATTTGTGATATCAGATTTTGTGTTTTGCCGTTTTTATGGTGTTTTTTTTTGCGTTTTTTTACAATTACGTATACGGGAAGCAACTTTTCATGTCCTAAGATGACCTTTCATTAATCATGGATTTACATAATTTCCATCCAGGGGACGAGTAGTCTAGCTACTAATGTAATACTTTTATTGAATATTTCATCCAAAGTTAGTAGTCTAAAACTTATGCAACTATACAGGCACTACTCGTCTATTATAGCTGTAATACAGTAGAGAACTTAGGAGTTTTAATGGGTTTTTCTAAACAATGTCGGAAGATATTTACTCTATATAGACTATAGATCATAATATTTCAACCTGTTTATCTATGCATCTATTTCTCAGTATCTCAGATTTCCTATACGGATCTAAACGTTGAATAACTATAATTATAAATTTGATTATCTTTCTCTAGTACCTGTGACTAATCTCTTTTGTTCTTTTTTTTTACAATATCAAAGTCCTTATACTAAATACGATATACCCTTTTTATTTACTTTTTTTTTGCCATATC